CTGTTTTAATAAGTATATGAAAATTGCTGAAGCGTAATAGTTCTTATAATGCAATTTGAACTGATATTTTGAGAGCTTACATCCTTCATATTTCCATAAATGGTTAAAAATTAATTACATTGTGCACATTCTATATCATAGGTGGATTTTAACCAGGAATTATAAAGCCCTGAGTAAAGGTTCAAAAGGCAGTACATTAGGCTTTTTGAACATTATGATGGAATTGCTGAAGCGTAATAGTTCTTATAATGCAATTTGAACTGATATTTTGAGAGCTTACATCCTTCATATTTCCATAAATGGTTAAAAATTAATTACATTGTGCACATTCTATATCATAGGTGGATTTTAACCAGGAATTATAAAGCCCTGAGTAAAGGTTCAAAAGGCAGTACATTAGGCTTTTTGAACATTATGATGGAACTCAAGAAGTGTTGTAACCATTGCTACCTCATTAAACCACCGGAGGATAATGAATTCTATAATAAACAGGAGGCCTTACAGGTAATAACTTTTTTTTTAAGAAAAAAAGTAATTTAAAAGTGATTTTACATCTCTAATATGAATGCAGTAATTTTATAGTGTTCTGGCAATTTATTTGTTGTTATTAAATTATGTTAAGAAAGACCAAATTCTGTATCAAATGTGCATCCTGGGTTTTACAGGTTAGTGAGCTGATTACTTTTTTGTTTGCTTCTTAACTGGAACTGAATTAATAGAGAGATCAATACTAAATAAAACATCCTTGGTTTGAATTATGATCAAAATAAAAAGGAAATAGTTTGAAATAGTCTGTGTATTTTCAGACCAAATAAACTTAAGACTTATTTTAAACCCAGATTAAAATAAAGCAGTTAAATAAACAGATGAATTGAATATAAATGCAAATATATGTGACTGGCAGTGGGACACCAACAATCCATGTGATAGCAGAAAGTAATCTGCAGAATCTCTTTGTAGTCAAATACTGTTCTCTGCATGCCTTCAAACAACCAAAGTGAAAGGAAATAAAAGTAATAAACATCCAAAGCTATGTCTGGTTGTTTTGTTGTTATAAATGAAAGCAATTATAGCATCACTACCAAAGATGGTCTGTGATTGTGTTGTTGGTTTATAGTTTGGTTTTTTTGTAAAGGTTAATTCATCTTTGTACTAAAACTGTTGGGAACCACAGAAACAAATAAAAGAACTGTTATAATGATGCAGTTTATAACGCCATAAATGTTTCTAAAGATCAGGGTTTTTTTCCTGTCAACTTTGAAGTTCATAATTTAAATACTTTCCCGAAACTGCTAGATTGAAATCACAAACTGTCACTGCACAAGCTATTTTATAATATAAAATGCTTATCAAAGCTAAAGGATGTTTCATTTGCAACTCGGTGTGCTCTAACTACTTAAATTTATAATTAATCTAATCAGAACTGTTCATCTGTTATTGCTAATATATGCATACTTGTAACGATTTCTTTGGCTCATCTGAATAAGCTTTGTTAACCCTAATTATGAATGAAACATCCTTATCATTTCTGGCATAAAGAATAAAAGCACCTAACTCCCAATTTTTTATTCCCCAAAATTCTATCCTGAGCCTCTTCAGCTAAAGAGGCCTAATGTTTTTAATATGAAACTCAGGTGTATGCTGAATTTATGTTCTAGTTGATTCCACTGGAGCTGAGAAGGCTAAATTTTGTAACCTAGTTTAAAGCATGTTGACTTCTACTAACAAGATTCCTCTCACTTTTATCTTGCCTGAAAAACTTGACTGATTAGGCATTGTTTAAAAATACTTAGAGGATCGTGTATGTGAGAAACACCGCTCACTGATTAAATTTAAGTGAGGACAAAGTCAGTGGAGCAAAGATTTATTACAGCACTGGGCGCATGACCATAGTCAAAAGACGTGCCAATACACTCGACCATGGGGGTTTTGTACACACCTTATTACATCAGTTTAATACATGTTCATAGTCTTTCCAGGATACCCCTCCCTTGTCCCCTCCCTCTGGCACATGTGCTCTATCTCCTGGTGGTTGGGCTGGGGTCTTTGGGGATGAACTTTTCACCTTGGGTTTCAAGTCGGTTTTGGTCAGGTTCATGGATGTCAGTTCCCCCCTCTCCTTCTTTCCCCTTCCCCCCCTTCCCCCTCCCCTGTTGTTCTGCTGCAGGATAAGCCTTATCTTTACCCAGGCAATATACATTCCAGGAGAGCAAAATTCTATTAACTCTTTGCTACCCACTACAATGTAGTAATGCATACATCTGTTCAAAAGACAGAAAGTGAGGAGCAAGTAGTACTAAGGTAGTCAGGTAGTCTATTTGCTGCTATTGATTTGGTAGAAGAGAATTTGAGTCTACCCTGTAACTGCTCTAACTCATAGCACAGTATATTTGCTTAAAATTTTAATGAAATGTTAAGATGCTGTTTTATGAGCCAGAGCTGAGAAATGCATTTATTTGAAAAACATGCTAGTCACCACAGCTGTTGATTTCAGTTAAGAGTGCTTAACACTTTTATAATGAGTTTTTACAAGATCAGGACTGACTAAATGCTTATAAAACTTTGATCTTCGGTTAATGAACATCTAACCATCTGCAGTGCAGGTTAGTGTTGAGGTGAACTTATTTTGCAATATGCATTTTTCTTGTAGCATTTAATACGTAGCAGTGGGAAACTAATCCTTCTTGACAAGCTACTGATTCGTCTACGAGAACGTGGCAACAGAGTACTGATTTTCTCTCAGATGGTGAGAATGCTAGACATCCTGGCAGAGTATTTGAAGTATCGTCAGTTTCCCTTTCAGGTAAGATTTTTGCTGTTAGTAGCCAAGAAGCCTTGATCTTTACAATTTTATCTTTAAAAAAGTGTCCTTTTTGTAGAAAGATGTATGAAATCTTGCTTTTTTTTGTACAGTAAAAGACTAACAATTACTATATACTTAAAAGTATTTTGAAATTAAACTGATTAATATTGGAAGAGTTACATTACTTTTATTCCCCCCCAATTGTTTTGGCAATTGTGAATTCAAGGTACTTTGAATAGAATATAGTAGGAGTTCCTTTTTAACTGTATTATTCAATCTCTTTAGAGACTTGATGGATCAATAAAAGGGGAATTGAGGAAACAAGCATTGGATCATTTTAATGCAGAAGGATCGGAGGTATGTTATTAGTGGGTGGTTGGTTTTTTTTAAAAAATCGACTCAGCTTCCCCCCTCCAGGAAATATAACAAATATTACACAAAACCCAAAGATAGTATAAAGTGGGGGATGTATTATGTTGAAATTCCAGTGCTGTTACAGAGACTATAAGTTTTATAACTTAACAAACAAAAACACAGCAAAAAAAATCCCAAAAACAAACACAAAAGGTTTTTAAAAACTGGGGAGGCTAAATAGGAAACAAAATTTACGAAAATGGTGTTTATAACTGTCTCGGTTTGAGAGACAGGTG